CCCGTGGTGGGCTGAGCACAGATAGCCCATTGTGTAGCTTTGTGCATAAATTCAAACAATTGATTGAAAAATAATTATAAAATATTTTTCAAACGAAAATTCATTAGTTTTAGACTCAGCCCTTCGAATAGATATTTAGTAACAATCTTTAATCACAAGTGAAAAACACCTAACAGGCATATGAAAGCTTAAGTATAAGATACGTTCGAAAATCACATTTGAGCCCCAGTAGCTCAGTAATAAGTTTGCAGGTTTATAAGGCTAAAAATTAAAGTTCGATACTCGTAGTAACACAGATAGTCCTATTTCATAACTTTACGCTTCAAAAAGCAAACAAAAACACATTTTTTTTTCTTTACTCAGAATACATCATATCACATTATTTCCGTAGTGAAACGTACTTGAAATGATATAAAACTGTAGGACAGTTTTCCCAGCACAATACAAGGCCCAAATATTTGTTTTTATTCACTCCAAAACTTTAAACAAGACCATGTTTTTTTTTACTAAGAATGGTTTCCTAGTTTAATACCAAATATAAATATAGAATTATTTAGAAGTTTCTCACTAGCTTCTTGAACGTGATACAGCGCCATCTTGGATGACAAGCGATCTTTCAATAATGCAAATGGAACAAACCAAATATCTAAGGACGCCGGCAAACAATCGTATTTTTACATGTTGTTATTAACTGTAAAAACCGCAGATGTGATAAATATCAAACCATACACGATGAAGAGCCGGGAATCTATGACACAGGCCTACAGTTAACCTGATTGCTAGCTGGGTTCAACTGTAGTAATTAATGACCACATTGTAATTTGTAGTGATTTCAAAGGTAAGGTCTTGTGTAATTCACGTTGATTAATAAAAAAATGTACAACAAATAAAGGTTCATGAAACTTATTCTCTCAGAGACCTGCATACAACCACACCTTGTCTCCTGGTACAAAGCTGACTTCAGTAGATCTCTTATCATAAGATAACTTCATCGAATCAGCAGACGTTTTCAAGTTTGAACGCACTTGATGGTGAATATCATCGATCCTTTCCGATAACACTTTCACAAACTCTGACACATTTTCAAGCAACTCTTTATAAGGTGGGCATCCTGTTAACAGATCCACTGGCAACCAAAGTTCCCGACCAAACATCAACTTTGCTGGAGTGTATCCAGTGGCTTCATGCTCTGCTGTTCTATAGGCCATCAACAGTGGAGGGAGTAAGAAATCCCAGTCATCTTGGCGACTATTACAAAACTTTGCCAATTCCTGTCCCAGTGTCCAGTTGTACTTTTCTACCATCCCATCGGACTGTGGTTGAAGTGGCGTTGTCCTGGTCTTTCGGGTGCCAAACAACTTGCAGCATTCTTGGAACACTGCTGATTCGAAGCTACGGCCTTGATCTGAATGCAGTTCATATGGCATACCAAATCTGAAGAAGAAATCATTAATAGCCAAAGCTACAGTTGTAGCTTCCTGATTTGGTATTGTATATGCCTCAGGCCGCTTGGTGAAATAATCCATCACCACACAAATGTACTTGTTTCCAGCACGAATTTGGGGCAGAGGACCAGCAAGGTCAACGGCTACTCCTTCCATTGGTGTGCAAACTTGATATAACTTCATTGGAGCATGTCCCTTATGCTTGGGTCCCCTTTTAGCACAACATGTACAGCATGTTCTGCACCATTCTTCCACATCATGCCTCATACCTATCCAGTAAAATCTCTGTTGTAGGTGACTCAATGTCTTCTTAACTCCGAGATGTCCTCCTGTTAAAGTATCATGGGATTGACGCAGCACAACTTCCCGTAACTTTCTTGGTGTAACCGTTTGCTAGGTCGTCACTTTCCCATCTCTGGAGAAGAATACCATCTTCAAGCTTCAACTGGTCCCATTGTGCCCAATAGTGCTTTGTCACAGGGCTTAGACTAGATACCTTCTCCCACGCAGGG